ACTATGTGTTATATAAACTAAACATATATAAACTATAGGGTCTATATATAAACTGTATATATATATATATATATATATATATATATATATATATATATATAATTTGAATTTCTTTTCTTATAACATTGAAAATACAGAAATTTAGCGAAACAACCAAAGATACACTTGATTCAGCGAACTTGTAAATCAAGCGAAAAATTATCATTGATGAACTTTTGGGTAAAAAGATAAGATTTAGATATTCCGGTACTTCGTTGACTTGACGCGTCGGAAGCAAAAAAGACATTACAGGTGAACTGTTGGGTTAAAAAAAAACGATAAAGTTTTGATATTCCGGTATTTAGCTGAGCTGTCGTGTTTAGGTATCTCATCGGCCTTCTACGAGGTCAGCAGTTGTGTTGACGGTGGGAGAGACAGGAACAGATGGATGGGGGCCCCTGTCAGCGGGGGTGTGATAAGGGGAAGATGAATGGGGGTGTGGGGGTGGTGGATGGGGGGAGAGATTGATGCGGAGAGACGCGGGGGATGATTCATGGAGAGCGGGAAGGGGGATAATCTACAACTTGTTGGTGGAAGATAAGTCTGATGAAGGAGGGTTGAGGTGGGTAGATTTTTAGAATAGCCAGACAAATAGATTTGTTGAGGGGGTGTGGGTGGATAGATTTTTAGAATAGCCAGACAAATAGATTTGTTGAGGGGTGTGGGTGGGTAGATTTTAGAATAGCCAGACAAACATATTTGTTGAGGGGGTGTGGGTGGATAGATTTTAGAATAGCCAAACAAATAGATTTGTTGAGGGGGTATGGGTGGATAGATTTTAGAATAGCCAGACAATTAGATTTATTGAGGGGGTATGGGTGGATAGAGTTTTAGAATAGCCAGACAAATAGATTTGTTGAGGGGTGTGGGTGGGTAGATTTTAGAATAGCCAGACAAATAGATTTGTTGAGGGGGTATGGGTGGATAGATTTTAGAATAGCCAGACGAATAGATTTGTTGAGGGGGTGTGGGTGGATAGATTTTAGAATAGCCAGACAAATAGATTTGTTGAGGGGGTATGGGTGGATAGATTTTAGAATAGCCAGACAATTAGATTTATTGAGGGGGTATGGGTGGATAGATTTTTAGAATAGCCAGACAAATAGATTTGTTGAGGGTTGTGGGTGGGTAGATTTTAGAATAGCCAGACAAATAGATTTGTTGAGGGGGTATGGGTGGATAGATTTTAGAATAGCCAGACGAATAGATTTGTTGAGGGGGTGTGGGTGGATAGATTTTAGAATAGCCAGACAAATAGATTTGTTGAGGGGGTATGGGTGGATAGATTTTAGAATAGCCAGACAAATAGATTTGTTGAGGGGGTGTGGGTGGATAGATTTTAGAATAGCCAGACAAATAGATTTGTTGAGGGGGTGTGGGTGGATAGATTTTAGAATAGCCAGACGAATAGATTTGTTGAGGGGGTGTGGGTGGATAGATTTTAGAATAGCCAGACAAATAGATTTGTTGAGGGGGTATGGGTGGATAGATTTTAGAATAGCCAGACAAATAGATTTGTTGAGGGGGTGTGGGTGGATAGATTTTAGAATAGCCAGACAAATAGATTTGTTGAGGAGGTGTAGGTGGATAGATTTTAGAATAGCCAGACGAATAGATTTGTTGAGGGGGTGTGGGTGGATAGATTTTAGAATAGCCAGACAAATAGATTTGTGGAGGGGGTGTGGGTGGGTAGATTTTAGAATAGCCAGACAAATAGATTTGTTGAGGGGGTGTGGGTGGATAGATTTTAGAATAGCCAGACAAATAGATTTGTTGAGGGGGTGTGGGTGGATAGATTTTAGAATAGCCAAAACAAACCCCCCCCCCCATTTTTGTGGGGGGGGGGGAGGGGGTGGTACGTGGCTGAGATAAGATATGATTATATTTTAAAGACAGCAAGAAGTACAAATAAACTTTAGAAGAAAAAAACTTTGTTTTGCCTTATTAAATATGAGCACACATTATTCTACATACAGATAAAATAATGCCTTCTATATATCATTCGTCTCAAACAATAAAACGCTACGAACTACAAACTTTTAAAAATAGTTCTGTTTATGTGTTTGGAATAAAAAGAAGTTTTGATAGAGCATATTTTATAAATGAGCCGTATTTATCATGTTTATTCTTGTTGTTAACTTTTGTACAAAACGTTAGAAAAGATTTTTTGAAATTTTTTTTTTCACGTACTTAAAAAACTGCAACAACGTTTCTTTATGATCGGATTATTGTTTATATCATATGGTCATCAACTGCTCAAACAATGCTCATTAGCCAGGTCTGATAACTCAGCGTAATGAATCGAGCATGTCACCCACCTATGTTATTGCCTGTTAGACCCATGGGTATCTGCATTTTTGTGTTTCCCCACCCCCAACAAGTTTGATCACGTGGGGCAGTTCGTGTAGAGTACGACAACAGTCTCGACCCCAAGGTTCCGAACTTGGGAATGATTTCAGTGGCGTAACTAGTGGAGGACGGGTGGGGCGCCGACCCCTAAGGGGGCGCCAAAAAGAGTAGAAGAAAAATGTAAAAGCCGGAATGGGTCACTACGCCTTTAACAATCGCGAGTTCTACCGCTAGACCACGCCTATACGTGGATTACAAACTGGTTAAGATGTTTACCTCATCTGCCATCGATGTGGGTTTTCTCTTGCCAGGTCCCTTGTAACCAGGCCCCAGGATCGGGGTCGCGTAGGATCCAGGCTAAAAATAGATACAGAATGTTCAGAAGTTTTCATGGCTTGTCTATTCGTGGGAGTGGAATGGTTTAAAGTGTATGTGATGTAGGATATTATGATGTAATTTTACAGGGTTAAAAGTATGACGACTATTTATGTATACATATGTTATCTTAAAGCGAGGGGGTGACATGGGAAGTTTGTAGCACCATTATAACACGGCTTAGCTTTTTGATATGAGGTGCGATAATAAGGGGGTGGGGGTTGGAGGTAGGGTTAATTGATAAAGTTATTGCGTGACGTCATTAACAGACGACCCCCTACCTCGATTCTCATTAATAAATTAAGTTTATTTAAGAGTTACAGTATTTTCTCCATTTCTTTACTCTTATATATATTGGACGTATTTATATGCTTGACGTCACCAGTTAATGAGGGAGACATAGTCTAATGTTTTTCATAATTGAAATCAAGCACAGAGGGGTGGGAGAAGTTGGGGTGGTGGTGAAGGGAGTGTTTCTTTTTTGTTCTTCATGGGTATGATGGGATTTCCCCCAAACACAATAAATTATTACGTGTCAGCATGTTATGCGCCATATAGGCTTTGACTCCGATTTCAGTCTGCTTTTGTTTTTTGAATTTGCTTCGATAGACTTTCTCTAGCAAGATTAAACTACAAGGCAGCAGTTGTTTGATTTTGGAGTTGTCTCTCCTAGATGGGTTGACGTCTCCAGTCTGGTGGGTTCGAACTCGGGACATTTTAGTTAAGTAGCCATGAGCTTTACCGACCCGACCACAGCGACCCCCTTAGGGGAATTTTAACTGTTCTGAAGGTGTAAAAGTTAGGGGTGGTGGAGGCGAGGGGTGTTTTGACTGTTTTGAAGACGCATAAGATGAAGAAAAAGTTCAGGAAGGGATTGCGAAAAACAATTGTTATAAAATACATGTTATTTGTCATTAAACTTTTGTTAGTAAAAGCTGTAGTGAAAATTTGGAATAGTTCGGGGAGAAGAGGAGTGGGAGCGGAGTGGAGGGGTTAGGGGTGGTTGACTTTTTTTTGGTTATAGAACGGAGTTAGTTAATGGTGAATATTTGACCAATGTCGTTTATGGATGACCTCCCCCCCCACCCCTCACCCAACGGAAATGTAAAATATAAAAACAAAATTCTCTCACCTCGTCCGAGTCGACGCCATCGTAGTGGTTGTAGATGTTCCTCTTGCGTTGTATCATCTGCTCGTGTTGTCTCAGGAGCTTCTCCTGGTGCTCACGGCGTTCTCTCTCGCTGCGCTTCCTGGGGGTGGGGGTGGAGGTAGAAGGGAAGGGGGGGGGGGTCATAACAAGGGTAATGTTTACTGGCGCTTGGATGTAAGAGGGATGGGGGAGTTGGTAGGCCCAAATGGGTAATTTCACTTTTTTGTTGTAGTTGATAGGTTACCACTCTACAACACCCTTTCGTTTTGTGGTGTGTGTGTGTTTGTGTGTTTGTGTGTGTGTGTGTTTGTGACATGTGTTTGTGTGTGTTTTTTTGTGTCTATGTGTATGGATTTGTGTGTGTGGGTTTGTGAGAGTTGTGTTTCGTAGAGCGCGAAAATGAAAGTCTCGAGTCCGAATCTGGGTTCAAATCAGAGTCCACACAACCCTGATAGGTAGGCCTACCTAGTTCTATATGTTCGGGTAAGTAAAGGCGGCTGGGCAAAGTGTTGACCACACTATCCTTTCATATGCCGAGGTCAAGAATCATAAGGACTCTACTTCATGCCCAATGTATCGTTAGGTCTAAAGAGGATTCTTTATTTTTTTTTTAACTTGGATGCAAACAACAAGTAGTACTCAGCACTCAGTACAAAAGGGTGCTTAAAATAGATAGTACCTAGTATAGCAGGATACACAAAAGCAGGTTTACTCAGTACAGTGGTATTAAAATAAATAAAACAATGCAACAGGGTGTACGAAAAAGATAGATGATTTTTCTTCAAAGCGTTAGCACAATATAAACATGGAGTCAATAATAATTGAAATACAATCGCACAACACAGGTAAAAGTACGTTGCCTAAAAAAATGTGATAACACATAGGGAAATAAAATATAAATAAAACAAAACAAAACTAAAAAACAAACCAACCAGAATGTAATTATTTTACAAAATATGTTAAACAATATAGATGCATTTAAATCTTTTTGTAATCGTGCTTTCGGTTCATAAACAACCCTTTTAGATCTTTTTGTAATGGTGCTAGATATACATGAACAACCCTTTTAAATCTTATTGTACTGGTGCTAACTATACATGAACAACCCTTTTAAATCTTTTTATTATGGTGCTAAAGGTTCATGAACAACCCTTTAAATTTTTTTTGTGATGGTGCTAAATATACATGAACAACCCTTTTAAATCTTTTTGTAATGGTGCTAAATATACTTGAACAAGCCTTTTAAATCTTATTGTACTGGTGTTGAATAGTCATGAACAACCTTTTTTTATATCTTACACAACCAAACTTTACTTACTTGGGTAACTCGAAAATCGCAAATTTTCCCCAAGATCTCTTGTCTTTCATTGCCTTGAACATGAAACATTCTCCATTAAAAGCTTAGTGTAAAAAGGTTATCTTCTAGTAATTTTACATGAAACAAGAACTTATTAAACAGTAATGTTCTTGACATTTAGGTATATGTAAAAAGTTCCCTTCTCAAACGTTGCAGTCCATGAGGCAAGTGAAGAAGAGTTCACATATAACTGTGACCTCGATCTATGAAGGGATACAGTGGTCGGTACTATGCATTTTTCCCCCTAACGTGAGTTAGGTACCTATGAGAGCTGGGTGGACTCAGGGAACTAGCACTAAACACATAATACAATAGAAACATCTTAAGGATTATCAAATATTTTGTACTGCTGTTAAATCTTGGGATTACTGTCATAATCAGATTTCAAGTCATGATGGTCTAGCACTTAATGACCTGACCTACTGGTATGAGATGACCCCATTCGCGAGACGATGACCTCTTCTAATGACACTAGACCTACAAAAGAGCTATGACCTCTTTTGATAACTCTGGACCTATAAAAGACCTATGACCTCTCTTTACAGGAGACCTACAAAGACCGTGAGACATTCTCTACTGATATAACTAGACCAACAAAAGACTTTTTATCTCCCCTGATAACAAGATCCCAACAAAAGACCTATGACCTCCTCTAATAACAAGACCCCCAACAAAAGACCTATCTCGAGTTGACCTACCAGAATGAGCAGGACGGCGACGACAGAGATGACGCCGATGACAGCGACGAAGAAGATGACGAAGGACTTGACGCGGTGGTCGGCGGCCGTCGCCTCGGCCTGGGCCCGCCGCATCTCGCTCCACCGGTCCACCACCACAGCCGTGTTGTTGGGGGCTGGGGACAGCAAGTATAAGTGTCTTAACTCTAGTAACAAAGTTACACCCTAGTGTTGTGGGGGCTGGGGACAGCAAGTATAAGTGTCTTAACTCTAGTAACAAAGTTACACCCTAGTGTTGTTGGGGGCTGGGGACAGCAAGTATAAGTGTCTTAACTCTAGTAACAAAGTTACACCCTAGTGTTGTTGGGGGCTGGGGACAGCAAGTATAAGTGTCTTAACTCTAGTAACAAAGTTACACCCTAGTGTTGTTGGGGGCTGGGGACAGCAAGTATAAGTGTCTTAACTCTAGTAACAAAGTTACACCCTAGTGTTGTTGGGGGCTGGGGACAGCAACATTTGTTGTATACGTGTCTTAAGTCTTGTGACAAAGTTACACCCTAATGTTGTGGGGGCTGGGGACAGCAAGGCAACATGTTTTGTTGTATAAGTGCCTGGGATAAATCTTGTAACAATGTTACACCCTAGTGTTGTTGGGGGCTGGGGACAGCAACATTTGTTGTATAAGTGTCTTAAGTCTTGTAACAAAGGACCCTAGTGTTGTGGGGGCTGGGGACAGCAACATTTGTTGTATAAGTGTCTTAAGTCTTGTAACAAAGGACCCTAGTGTTGTGGGGGCTGGGGACAGCAAGGCAACATTTTTGTTGTATACGTGTCTTAAGTCTTGTAACAAAGTTACACCCTAGTGTTGTTGGGAGTTGGGAATAGCAAGGCAACATGTTCTGTTGTATAAGTGCCTGCGATAAGTACAGCAAGTCAACAAGTTTTGTTGTACAAGCGACTGGGATAAGTCTAAAAACAAAGTTACACTTTAGTGTTGTTGGGAGTTTGGAATAGCAAGGCAACATGTTTTGTTGTAACGGCGTTGGGGATAAGTCTAAAAACAAAGTTAGACTCTAGTGTTGTTGGGGCTGGGGATAGCAAGTAAAAATGTTTTGTTTCATCAGCGTTTTCAGGCTTTAACTCAAAGAAATTGTTCGTGCTCATAGTTTGAAACATCCGTATCACAAATACATTGAACAAACATCGAACGTTTTATTTCTTGTGTTGATTACTTGTCATATTCAGGCTATTCATTTTTGTTAACTATATGTAACTACAGGCTGTATATTTCTAGATAAGGCAATAATTTTAGTTTGAAAAAACCTTGATTATGTTGCCTATCATATTCTTATATTCTTATACATCAACGATTATGCAGTTGGTATATATATATATATATATATATATATATATATATATATATATATATATATATATATATATATATATAAATGTATTAGAAACCCCGTTTTCTTAAAACAAATAATAGTCAATAGCTTTCAATGCACTTTATAATTTCAAACTATTCACAGAATGCAAGACTGTATTGACTGTATCCCCCCCCCCCAACCTGCAACAAATCCTGTGTGAGATTAAAGATCTCGACTAGCCACAAACCCACAGTTCGCTCACCTTTCATCGGACCTTTGTTGACCTGGATCTGCTTGAGCAAGGCCTGCTCCGACACCTGATCTATCGGGTCCGTCAGCACCGGACTCTCATTCTCCACGTCGTCGTCATCGTCGTCTTCATCGTCCAGGTTCAGCAGGCCGTTGCTGACGGCGTGAGCGCGGGCCTCTTCGGCGTTTTTAAACAGCATGGCGGCTGCTGGGTTCCGATGGTCCCCTACGGAGGGCGTCGTGGTCGGCGGGGGCGTGGTGCGGATGGGTGGGATCGTCCCCGGGGTGACCAGCGTGGCTTCCAGTCTTTTGTCCTCTGCGATGCCGTTGGTGTCGAACATGCTGAGGTATTCTCCGTTGATGAAAACTTTCTGCGGGATGAAGATAGGTAAACTCGCCACGCGTTTGTACCTTGTGAGTTTCCTCCCTTGAATAAAATCTTCATAAGATGTAGGTAAATAGAAGTTCCGTTCGTGGATTGTTGCGTTACTTAACAACTTATCTAACATTTCTTCAGAAGGTGTTAATGGAATATGTCTCCTGCTTCGCCATCTACGTCTTTTATTTCCAAGTTGTCCCTTCATTCGTTCTGTTAATTCTCCGCGGTCAGATGAGTTACTAAATAAAATCTCAAATATTTCTTCAGCTAGGGTTAACTGCTTCCTTTGCCTACTTCGCCATCTACGTTTATTGTTTTCAGTGTAAACTTTCTTATTTAATTTAGATAAATCAGTCATTTTTTCTCGATAATTAGACCAACCATTTATAGATTCTTGAGCTGGTGATAATGATCTTGGTCGTCTGCTTTGCCATTTACGCTTTTTCTTCCCAACTTGTCTTTTACTTCTTGGCTCATACAATTCAATACTTTGTTCTCGGTTGTTAGAAAAACTTCTAAAGCCATCATCTGCTAATGATCTTGGTCTTCTGCTACGCCACTTACGTCTGCTGCTATCCACGTGTCGTTTCCTTCTCCCCTTCATATCCTTTTTAATATCTTTCATCTCCTCCTTCAGAACGATCTGCAACTCTTCCTCTGAAGGGTTGTCCCCCACTTTCCCTTCGTTGTTGATCGGGCCAACGTTGGTGGGGATTTGCTCGATGGCCTTGGCCACGTCCTTGACGACGGACGACTCGAAGAACTGGGCCACGGCGTCGTTTTCTCCTGTGGTCAGACGTTTCGGCTCGACTGGTTGTACTGTGGCGTTGTGTGGGATAGGAACAACTTTTACAATAGTTTTAGGGGATAACTTAGATAGGCTTGCACAGAAACAAATACAGCGATGGCTTATGATATATACATATGATATATACACACCACACACACACACACACACACACACACACGAATGAACGAATGAATGAATAAATGAATGAATAAATGAATGAATGAATGGATGAATGAATGAATGGATGAATGAATGAATGAATGAATGAATGAATGAATGAATGAATGAATGAATGAATGAATGAATGAATGAATGAATGAATGAATGAATGAATGAATGAATGAATGAATGAATGAATGAATGAATGAATGAATGAATGAATGAATGAATGAATGAATGAATGAATGAATGAATTAATTAATTAATTAATTAATTAAGTGATTAATTAATTTATTAATAGATACATAATTAGATAAATTATATATATATATATATATATACATATAAATACATATAAATACATATATATATATATATATATATATATATATATATATATATATATATATATATATATATATAAATAAATAAATAAATAAATAAATACATAAATAAATAAATATATATATATAAATAAATAAATGAATAAATAAATAAATAAATCTAATATATATATATATATATATATATATATATATATATATATATATATATATATATATATATATATATATATATATATATATATATATATATATATATATATATGTCTTGCACTTTCTCTAACTGTGGTAAGTGCTTTGTTTGACAATCAAGTGCTGGCTAGAAAATTAATCTAAGAGTTCGTTCTACTTACACCGTGCATATTGGTAACCATCAAATACCTCTTTAAGAATATCAAAAATAAATAAAAGCAACATCACTAATAGTTTCCGAACGATCTTGTCTATTTTTTTATTTACATGTAATGAAGTAAAACAAAAATGGCGGAATTATTTTTTTACCTGTTAGCCTCACATTGTGTAAGAAAGATAACGATTTACCTGTGGTCACAAAGGTAGGTAAAGTTGGAGGAAACGGTTCCACCTTGTGGAGATATATCGGCTCCCCCTTACTCACTGCTATCTTCTCCAGTTCCGATTCCTCCGCTTTCAGATCCTTTAAGAACAAAAAAGTTGGGAATTTCTAGCAATAAACCTACATACCTTTTTTGTAACCTTTAGATAAAAAGTATGTAACAGACAATCGACAGAGCCTGAAAGATTTTGACAAAAATACCTGTACTTTTAGATACCAGAACTATTTTTATTCCAGAGTTATGTTGTCAGTGTGACTTTGTTGTACTGAACGTGAACTCCGCATATATTTTATATTCTATACCTTGAAATAGAAAATACTTTTTGTTTCCTGAACTTTGTGCTGTACTAGGTCGCTAACTTTTATTTGCAAGAGAGCTTCTTCTTTTTCTTTGTTCTTAATTGTAATGTTGGATGGAGATTTCCTTTAACACCACTAAGTATTACGTGTCAACATGTTATGCGACATTTGGCTCTTTGACTACAACTTCAGCCTGCATTTCTTTCTGTATTTGCTTCCATAGTCTTTGTCCAACCAAGAACTATCAGCAAGGCAGCAGTTGTTTGACTCTTGAACTTTCTCATCTACGGATTGCTTTCTCTAGCTATAGGACCTAATTTGTCTGGGATCCGAACTCTGGGCTTTTGTAGTTATCTAACAACTCCATCGCCCGACCACGCCCCCTCCCCCCCCCCAAGAGAACAACATTTTCAAAAGTTCAACTCTATCTCAACGTTACATGTGAATAGCCCGGATTGTATTTTTTTACACAATACACTATGATAGTAATGTTCAAACCAAAAACTACACAATGGGGGAAAAACCCTCGAACTGTATATGCGCGTTGAAGATTTACAATTAATTGCATTAACTATTTCAATCGGAAATTTCCCAACCAAACACATGGTAACCTTATACATCTTTATGTCAGAAAACAGCCGGGACATCTATTTTGCTTCTTAAATAGATTTAACTACACAATTCTCTAAAAAAACATACGTTTTTATATTTAAAAAAAAACCCTTGGAGTTCTCTAGCTGGTACCTGCATCACAGCGTTGTAGAATTGTATTCTCAGCTCCGAATCGAACAGATCTTCGATCTTGTCGCACAGGTTCATGATCTGATGCTTCACAGCCCACCTTAGTTGGGGGCTTTTGCGAGAAACGATCAGCCCAGCAACGATAATGGGTTCGTCTAGAGGCAGAGCGACCCCTGAAAGATATATCTTTATGTCGGTGATGGTACATGGAAGCTTACATTGACAGATTCAGAAATATCTATTGGTTCAGATATATCAATTGGTTCAGATATATCGATTGGTTACATTGTAAATATGTACGTGTATGTATGCTAGGCAGATTCGACGAGAGAGGCTAGAGCTGTATTTAAAGACCAACAAACAACAGTCCATGAGGAAAAAGACAGCAGCATATATGGCTCCTTTTTTTTTTACATACAGCATTATGTAAAAATTAAAGACACCACAGTCGACATAAAGAAGAGAGACACCACCATATAAAGACACCACCATAAAGACACCACACACCACAGTCGACAAATGAAGAGAAACACCACCATAAAGACACCACCATGTAGAGATACCACCATATAAAGACACCACCATAAAGACACCAAACACCACACACCACATCAACAAGAGAAGAGAAACACCACCATGTAAAGACACCACCATGTAAAGACACCACCATGTAAAGACACCACCATGCAAAGACACCACACACCACAGTCGACGAGTTTGGCGATGCTGCAGGGGGATGAAGTGACCACCACGATGTCGACATTCTGCAGCAGTTTGACAAAGTGCACGACATCACAAGTACACAGGTGAAATATCGATTTCAGGTACCTGGAAGTTTATTTTATTAATACCTCTACGTATATATATATATATATATATATATATATATATATATATATATATATATATATATATATATATATATATATATATATATATATATATATTTGTATAAGCAAAGTAAGAAAAAAAGGAAAAATTCTTTTTGGACCAAGCGATCCGTTGAGCAGATGAAGTAGAGTTCATATGTTTATGGAAATCGGCATATGAAGGGATGGTGTAGTCAGAACAATGCTGAACCGCATTTCCTTTCCCCAACGTAGGTCATGTACCATCAGAGCTGAGTGCACTAATACACACAGACATACACACTAACACACACACACACACACACATATATATATATATATATATATATATATATATATATATATATATATATATATATATATAATATATAATATATATATATATAATATACATATAATATATAATATACATATAATATATTAGATTCTCAAATCTCTTATATATTAAATCGAATCAAATTCTCATAAGCAGCTTCCCCCCACCCCACCCCCAAGTCACTCCTTAGCTTCACGCTTCATCCAGAGATCTACCCAACGCTGAAGACAGGGACCCAGCAAGTAACCAACACCCAAAGCAAACAATCTGAACGTCTCACACGAAGACCACGACATAGTCCATCATGACGGTGGCCGCCAGGTACTTGTAGTCCAGGTTGTGGGCGCCGTCGCAGGTGACGATGTTGGTGGTGTAGGCGCAGCCGCCCGGAAGTTTGGAGGACCTGGGCGACACGGCAGGCAGGAGGAGTGCTAGGCAGAGGGCTGGAACCACGGAGACCATCGTTTCCGGTCATGTCTGCATGACGTCAGGATGTTCGGAATTTTTTCTACGAGAGGGGAGAGGTTGGGAATTAATTGTATTGAGATTTGAAAATGTCGGCGTTATAGGATTATCGCTATGATAGAGCAATCATGGCATTGGGAATTTTGACTGGTTAAGATGCAGAGCATGCTAGGTGTACCCAGGGACAATGAGTTCAAATCTCCCGAAGCGGTTTTTTTGTTTTTTACTAGAAGCAATAAAACCTGATCTCCAATCGCTGTTCTTTAAACGAGTTAAATCTTGATTTAATTGAAATTGTTTTGGATCAGAAAATATTTTCACATTTTAAAAGAAATTAAAAAAAAAAATCAAAACATATTTTTTTTTAGTAAAGTTCCCGTTTTGAACCTGACAGTCCATGAAGTAGAGTTCACCAGTTTCTTTGACCTCTGCATATAAAGAGATAGCGTGTTCAGCACTATGCCCAGCCGCCTTTACATTCCCTAAAGGGTGAGTTATGTAACCATCAGAGCTGGGTGGACTTATAGACATTGTACTGACTTGAACTCGTATTCGATTTTCGGATTAGCAGTTTCGCGCTCAAATGGTAGGACACGCCGTCCTATACATTTTTATTTTTACTTCATTTGTTTTTGTTTTAACCCTTTATTCCCCTGAAATCGTATATCATAATAAAATAAATTAGTAAATTAATTCCGGAACCTAATGCTCAAACAGCTAACAGAAAAGGGGTTAATGAACACCGCACAGAAACCAAAACCCCACAACACACAATATTTGCTCGCACTCGCTGACAACACAAAGGTCACACTAAACTGCAGGGCGCGCGTGAGGACGCCCCGGGGGCCGGGCAGTGCGGCCGGGGTACATGCTCTAGCAGAAATGAGCCCAAACAAACAACGGCCGTTGGCTTTGACGTCTGGCCCTTGTTTTAGAAGAAGGTCCATCAGCGTAATGGGGAGCGTCAATACACGGGGCCGGGCGTGGCTGAGGGTGTCGGTTGCCCGTGCACCCCCTGACCTGCATTCTCTTCTCACAACTCCCAGACAGAGGTTTCATTTTTCGTACCCCCCCCTGCTCCTCCCATACCCCACCCCTAGATTTTTTCAATTGTCTTGCTTGTCCGTGGGTGCGCATATCTGGACTGGAATGACGTGGACACACACACACATCTACATACACAAACACGCATACGCAATATATACAAACATGCAGACTCACACATATATACACATACACGCATAGAAGAACAGAAACAAGGGAAGTAAGAAAAAAAAAGTTATTTTTTAAGGCCGTGGTTCGAGAACCAATTGGGCCATCTCCCATTTCATGAATGGAGTATGACGCGCGCGACTGGACAGATAAAAATGGGTTAATAAATTGAGTTACAAATAATACGAAATACGAACTGGTTTAGTTAAAAAAATATATAAAAATAATTTCCGCAAAAAATGGCTTTGATTTTTAAAGAAATTTAAAAAAAAACAACTATCTAGGATAAAAGTGTGGGTGTTTTAAAAAATAATTTCTTACGCCCACTCCTAATAATAAATCATTAGGTGTTAGAGCTGTGGATAGTTTTGTACTCTCTCTTTGAGATCTGTTGAAAATATTATTTTACGAAAACTAGTGATGTCGAAATACTGGGATTTCCATAAATCTTCTCTTTAAAATGGTGATTAAAAAAAATTTTAATCTCTAAATTTAATAGTTTCGACTTTATCCGCTGAAATGAACTGAGCTTCGATACCCGTAATGGAAATACATTAAAAATATTAACGCGTTGGTCTTAAGATCGTATTTATAGTACAAAATAACCTTGACAAATTAAAAATAAGGGGCAGCAACTGAAAATAAATACCAATTCTTAAAAAATGTATTTTTAATATATATTTAAATATTCTTTTTTTTTAAAAACAGTTTTTTACATTACCTATATTTAGATTCTCTATATTTTCTTTGTAAGTTCCGATATCTAAAGCGTTGGTCTTATGGTCATATTTATATTACGATTTAAACTTGACAAACAAAATTCAGGGGAAGCAACTGCAGATAAACTACTATACTTAAAAAATGTGTTTTGATATATATTGGGATATTCAAGATATGTTTAGATTCTGTAAATTTATTTTGTAAGTTATTAAACCTACGTATTGAAACGAAATGCTTTTTGTTTTAAATTATTTCTTTTACCATGATCTGATTGTATAAAATCGTTTAGTTAGCCTTTCGAATCTGGCGGTCCATTGGGCAGCTGAAGTAGAGTTCATCTATAATGTGACATATTGCAAATGAATGCACAGTGTGGTCAGCTCTATGCCCGGCAGCCTGTACTCTCCCTCACCCGAGTCAGGTACCCGTCTGAGCTGAGTGGACTCAGGGACGTCCTACTGACTCAAACCCGGGTAAGCGGTCGCACAAGCGAGTATAAGCGAGCATTTTGCCATGCATGACTATCTAGGAACAAATTGTCCTCGAAAAAGAGCTTCTTTCAGCCATCACTTTGGGGAGGTTCCCGCACGAACCGTCTCCCTCCCCCTTGCATACTATCCCACCCGACGAAATACAAATAAATATATATTTTATAGAAATAATATACTTTGCCAATTTCCGACCCCCGGAAATTTCAAGTGCACACACGGGAGTAAAATATCTGCAAGAAACCACGGAGACAAATATGTCCCCAGACGAAATGTAGAAATTTTTTTTTCTTTTAAAACCATAGTACGGGCGTCCTTGTTATCCGTTTTGTTTTTTCGCTCAGTTTAAACACTCAGTCTCGGAGACTTTGTGTATCTAACTCAACTAACCCGAACACTAACCAGCAAAAACCAAGACTTTACACTGCAGTACTTTACGGATAAATTTAACATTTACATACCCTTAATTATATGAATCTTCCTAACGCTGATAAGCATTGTTAAATAAAAGAAAATAAATCTAACTCTAAGTTTGTACCAAGCGCTCTCACAAACCAAACTTGATCAGCCGAATGGAGTCACCCACTTCGGTCAGGTTACCAAGACGACGCTGCACATGGTACCGAGGGCACAGGGGTTGCCCGTGTGTTCTGTGGCCTGCTTGAGAGGGGCGCCCAGAGAAATCGGACTCGGTGGAACTCGATACGGGTTGAGACAGTCCAGACAACTAAAGGGTCACAAATTTACATCCACTTTCATTCTCATGCTTGGTATTATCTGACTGAGGGAGAAGAAATAAAACATGTTGTTTTAAATTACAAAACACATTGATCTTACTTCTTACTTATAGAGTGAGTATATATATATATATATATATATATATATATATATATATATATATATATATATATATATATATATATATATATATATATATATATTTATATATGTATATATATATGGTATATATATACATATAAACATAATATAATTATATATATATATATATATATATATATATATATATATATACATATTTATGTATACATTTATTTATATATAATATATAATATATTATATATATATATATATATATATATATATATATATATATATATATATATATATTTATATATTTATATATGTAGGCCTTTATATATATTTATATTTATAAATAAATTTAAAAATATGTCAATATATATATATACCTATATATATCATCATGCATATACTACATATATATATGATATATATACATATATACATATACAACAAACATTTATAAGCAAGTATACATTTACATTTGATTTACATTTAACCTACATATACGTGTGCAATACACCCACGCATGCAACTAGTAAGGTTTGGCCTTGTCAACAGATTGGTCAGTGGATACTCCAAATATCCTTTCACTCGAAATCTAATCCTGTTCCTAAATTAAAACTTCTATCCTATACCTATCGCTTCTTAACGGCCATTTCAGTTTTAAAATGTCAAGTATGATTAGTTTTTGCAGCAAAGACACAGTAACATTTGTGCTGGTCTGTTAAATATTTTGTTTCGTGGTATTTGAGTTAATATTCGCTGACGGAATTTTTAAAAAACATTTAAAAAATTTAATTGTGCATGATCGCCAAGGTCCTAGATCTATCTATGTTTCTTAATTTGTATTTTAGTAACTAGATCTATTGGTAGCAAAATACCACATTATTTTAAACTTGTTTAACAAATATGTCTGATTTACCTAAAATAATCAAAGAGATTGCATTAAACTGATCTGTTTTAATAACACTCTTAAAAAAGCAATATCTAGATCTACATTTCAACTCTTTGTGTCTGATCAGTTTGATTCCATTAGTCTAAAGTACTCTAAAGTGTAATGTTTCTCAATATTTTACCTTCATTAGTTAAAGTAAAACATTTCAACACATAGATTTAGCACGGAAAAGGATTAAAACTCAATGTAAGTACACCTCAAAATAAATCCTACGTTTGTTTCAGATTAAAAAAAAAAGGTTTAAAAACTATTTCAGTTCTCAAAACTATTTTTATCGAACTGCTTTTGTCTACTATCCTAACATTTTCTTGAACAGGAAATAGAAACTCCCTGCTGCTTATAACTTTATGTGTATTTATACACAATTCTATGACGTCATATACCACTGAATAAAATTATGAAAAAAAAATAGATGCACAAAAAAATTAAAATAAAATAAGTTATCAGTGATGTTAATATAGACAAAGATCCATTAATTACTAAAAATTAATCAAAACAGAATCACTTCTCAGATAAAGAATTTATCGACATCATGAACTAAGAAAACAAAGTAAAAAGTTAACAAATACCCAATAACAACTATTTAGATAAATGTATAAAAGAGATGTTGAAACATGTGGTTAATGTGTTTCTGTCAGAAAGGAAATAATTTCCCAAGGTCAAGGATAAAGATAGAAATTGTTTCAGTACAACAAGGTTAAGGATAAAAAAGAAACTGTTTTACTACAACAGCGTAAAGAATAAAAATAGAAATTGTTTCACTACAATAAGGTTAAGGATACAGAGATAAATAATCTCAC